ACCAACATCACTGCTGAAAGTTAGAAGCTGACACACAAATCCATTTAAAGAAAGGTCTAGGTCTATTTTTTGATCTGATACAAATTTAAAAAAAAAAAAAAGCTTAATGGAATTGTACCATTTCATCTACTTTAAGCAAGTTCAAGAAGAATGAATACTTGTCTGTTTCCCCCGTGATGTGTAGGAGGTGACCTGGGCTGCATTGTAAATGAGTAGAGTTGGTAGGCTTTTGGAGGTATGCTTTCAAACAGTCACAGCTCTCCATAACAGAAAAATACTTTTCCCCTTCTCAGGAAAATCAAAATAATTTTTGCAGACTAAAACCAGCTAAGCAACTTTCCACTGACATGCCATGGAAAATGTTTGCAACATTTTATTTTCATTTTTATTCCTGTTCAATATATTATGACCCCAAGCTCACCCCAAACAAGAGAGAAATCTATCCCCAAAGCTTTAACTGGTACTCTTTCCACAGCATAAGAACTTCAGTAAAGCTGATATTTGTCAGTGAAGCAAAAGTCTTGGTTCTTGCAGATCTCTGGGTGCACACACTGGCAGAGACAAGACAAATGAGGTACTGTGGTTTTTATTTGTCTGTCATGGTGTTACCATGCTGACAACATGCATGCTAAGTGTGCTCTGCAGTGCTCACTACCACATTTTTAAGAAAGGAAAAAGATTGTAAAGTGCTTTGTCCATCACAGAATCAACTTCCTACCTTCTTTAGACCTAAGCAGGTCTAAATTCTGATCTGTGTTTATTTCACTGTTTTGTTGAAGGGGAACTGTGTTCTCTGTTTTTTAGATATGAATATCTAAGAATTTTCATAGCAGAACTGGCAGGTGTACATGAATGCATCAAAATAATTTTCTGTAGTAAGAATTATTAAATGTGGTCCATTTGCATCACTGCTATTTGTACTGACAGAAAGATTCTTCCCTTAAAACTTTGGTCAAAGTCAAATGTTTTCATTATTAGCTATGATCACCTGGGCTGTATCATTCCTCTTCCATGCTCTGGTCTTCAGTTTGCCTGCTGAGAACAGCAGTTTCTGTACCATTAAAATTATATATAGCAGAAGCCTTTTGCAATTGAGCTGGTTACTGTGGTCGAGACCAATCTGTTAATACTGGATGTCAGAGAATATTAAATGACGGTGTTTGTAAATCAAGTAAGGTAATATCACTTCTTTTATAGAAACTCGATTTGCATTGAAATGTCTTCATTGCTGCCTATCCCTCTTGTGAATTCCTTGAGTGAAAAAATAACAGGTATTTTATTCCTAACCTACAATTACTTTTCAACCCAAGTGTAACATCAGACCCTGTAAGTGTTCAATTTAAGATATTGTCTCTTTCCAGCACAGTCCCCTTACTATCATTACCTCATTTAACATATAGTACTATATTTCCGAGATGGCATTTTTCCCATATAATCACATTAATCACTACAGAATTAATCGAGATAATTATTTAATTATCAATCTGTTTTATAATTAATTTTTCTACCTATACTTCTAGTGTTATTTGTACTGCTGTTTCCTTTATGAAAAGACCTCATAATCCTAGAAGCTTTAAACCCATGTAACAAAAAATCTATACTCAAGTACCAATATTCTGATGAAAGTTTAGTCTTGAATAATTGAAAGATGCAGGTTGTAGAAGAAATAGAAGGGAAGACAGCAAATTTTACACTATAATCCATAATCTTTGTGAGAAAAGCAACACATACAAAAAAATTCTCAGTTCCCTTGGACTAGAAAGGAACTATAAACTTATATCTGGTCACTCTACTTAAGGACATCCCTTCTCTGTGTTTTGCCTCTCTGACCATATGGATTGCATAGCTTGTATCACTTTCCTGCCACGTGCTTTCCCTAGCCCAGGGAACAAGTGTGTGTCTGTCTACATGGCAGGAGCTGACCTACTCCTGCACAGGAGAGCAAGGGTTGATGCTTGTGCACGGACTCTGCTCTCCACCTTCTGATTTCCAAGGCTTGCAAGTGGAGTCTCAATGCTTCCAACATTTAGTTCAGGTATTTTAATATGAGGCCGATGTTTTGGCTTAACACTCAGCCTTTCACTTTGGCATGACTTAGTGAAAAGCTGACAGGCTCAGTAACTGAACCTCTTTCCCATCTGAGTGAAAAAGAAGCACATTTAGAAAAATGCAGTGACAACAGCTTTATAAACTCAGATAGGCTGAAAAAGCACATTTATTCTGCTTCACAGTGTTCCCCAAGGAGCTTTTTAAACATAAAAAAATGAATTAATGAAAATTTAACTGGTTTTAGTCATAAAACAATAGTTGTGTAAAATACTACTCACGCTGTAGAGATCACTAGATCAACATTATATCACCATCTCCATAAGCTTTCTACATCCCCAAGGCAACATTTGTATCCGGTTGCATTAATCTTGGTCTCTCTCTGTATTAAGCTACTGAAAAATGGATGCTCCTTCCCTACACTATTCATCGTCCAAATCTCCTCCACTGACACAGGTGTGCTGTGTCAAACAGCAGCAGTGCAGAGGGGGAAAAAGGGGTGAGCACCCTCCTTGGCTGTGTTTAGACTCCAGCCTGTAGTTAACAGGCAAAGGAAATTCTTCAGTTTGAGCACTGAGGGGAGAGAGCCTTGAAAAGCAATTGCTGTAACTAAACTGCTGTCCTAGCAGTGGCACAGGGGAAGATCTATGCATACGGATTGTCTCAAAAAGCAATAAGAAAGTAAGGATAAAAGCAAACCAAAAGTCTGCCTTGCCCAGGATTTAGCCTTCTACAGTCATCAATAGAAGGTGTGTAGGGAAAGTATAAGAGTGTGTAGTGGTACATCCCCACAATATTCTCCAAGTTTCCAGTGATTACATTTAATAATCATGGAATCACAGGTATATCACAGAATACTCTGAGTTGAAAGGGACCCATAAGGATTGTCGAGTCCAATTGTTAAGTGAATGACCCATACGGAGATCAAACTCACGACCTTGGTGTTATTAGCACCATGCTCAAAAAACTGAGCTTATCCTTGAGAGAATTTTCTTCAGTAACTTTGTCCAGTTGTTTTCAAACCTATATAAACTTTGACTGCCTACAATCTCCTGTGTTGAGGAAATTCATGGCTCAACTATGTGTAATGTGAAACACTATTTCCTTTTATTTGTTTTGGAAGCTCTGTCTTTACTTGATACCTTGTAGTTTCTGCACTAGAACAGCCTTCCAACCATTTTCCCTGGCTCTGTGTCCTTCATGGTGTCTGTTGGAAGGCCATCACTCATTCCTTTTCCAAGTATAAGAATGCTTCTAGACTATTTGGGTCTTGTGTTGAAGCCACCCTGCACTGCTAATCATCTTTGTTCCTGCCTGTGTGTCTTTTCTGAGATAAAAAGATCAAAACACAGAAAAAAGGTCTCAGTAGAACAGTATTGAGTACTGAGATGATGGTTTCATATATCTATTTATTACAAGACAAATACTTTATTCCTTGATGGTAACAGTAACTCAGAACCTATCCTAATAGGTCTAAGGGGTAGAGTTTGCATTTATCTGTGTTGAATTCCACCTACTAGTTACTATGACAAGGTATTCCTGCAATTTCACATCTTTTGTAACACCAATTTGAAGCAAATCATCTGCTACATCCTGTGCAAAGAAGGATCCTAGTGTAGAAACATTCCCAAGCTGCTGTAGTGGAAATGTAATTTTGCACTTTTCTTCTTAAAGAAGATATTGTTTGGCCCTTTTTGACTAAATAATTAATCTCTTGCACTACAGATTCTCCTTTTAACCTTGCAGAGCTTATGATCTTTGCTATTTTCCTGAATTGGACACAACCTTAGCACACTGAGATCTTCTTCAATTTGTTGCCTTTCATTGCTTTCTCCTGGTCTTTTAATGATCTTTTTAAAGACATGATATGTATTTGCTCTGTGCCTCTGATACACTATTACTGTGGTTTAACCCAGGAGGCAACAAAGCACCACATAGCTATTCGTTCACTCCCCACAGTGGGATGCTGGACAGAATTGGAAAAAAAAGTAAAACTCCTAAGTTGAGATAAAAACAGTTTAATAAGACAGAGGGGAAATGGAAAATAATAATAATGATAAAAAATGTACAAAACAAGTTATGCACAGCACAATTGCTCACTGCCAGCTGACTGACACCCAGCCAGTCCCTGAGCAGCAGCAGCCACTCCCCAGCCAGCACCCCCAAACTCTATATACTGAGCATGATGCTAGATGGTAGGGAATATCCCTTTGGTTAATTGGGGTCAGCTGTCCTGGCTGTGTCCCCTCCCAACTTCTTGTGCAACCCCAGCTTCCTTGCTGGCAGGGCAGAATGAGAACCTGAAAAGTCCTTGACTATGTGTAAGCACTGCTCAGCAACAACTAAAACATCAGTGTGCTATCAACATTATTTTCATCCTAAATCCAAAACACAGCACTGTACTAGTTATCAGGAAGAAAAATAACTCTATACCACCCAAAACCATGACAATTATCTCTAAATTATTTGCATGTCATCTGCAAAGACTTTACTCTTTAAAAACTTGAAGTTTCCTTTTTTTATGTAACCCTACATGTTTTTACACATTTTTACATGATTGTCTTTTGGATTTAGGCACAATGGTATAGATATTGGGTGGTTTTATTGGTTCTACAGGAATGTTGGATCTGAGCCAGTTTTGGTCCCTGTTATGGAGTGCCTGTTCCATAACAGTATTTGTGAATCAAGTCCAGTGTTGCTCAGGGCAAAGTAAAGAGCTCACCATTCTATCTAAAGTTCCCTGAGTCCTTGTTCCAGGAGGAAGTAATTAAGAATAACCAAATGCTTAGCTTTGACATCACATCCCTACACAACATTAGCCAATACACCCAGTAGTGTTTGCAGTCTCCTGCCACATCCGTGTTTCCTGTTCTTGCGTTATCGTCTCCACCAGCATGTCACAGGCACTGCTGCATTCCAGTGGATCACCGGGTCATATAGGTATCTATAGGTGACAGACTGTATTACCCTGCAAAGAGATGCGAGCATACAACTGTTCATAAAGGTTGTCTTATTGTAGTGGGTCCCACAGAGTCTGATATTATGTGATAAAACTATAATAATTCATGTAGAAGCCAGACTATCTACAACAGCTAGCGAAGGTAAGGATAGCTGAATGGAATGAAAGAGTATTTAAAGAAATGGTACAGCAAAAACAGGTATAAACATAAATAAGTCATTTGTCTTTCTAATCTTGAAACATTCATGCCCTTGTTCAGAATGAAAAAGTTGCCCAAGACAAGTAGGCTATTGTACTGAAAAATATTGGCTGCCTGATGATTTTGGAAAAAAATATGCCATGCTCACAAATACCTCCCCTGACCTGTTTATTAAAAAGAACAACAAATGACTGAGCAGTAAATATTCAGAGCCTGGGAGATTTTATCAAACAAAATGTTTCTGAAAAAAGTTGTATGATACAGCTGGCTGTGGGAAGAACTGCAAGTTCAGATCTTTCTCAGGTCAACTGATTTTGTTCATTTTCTAATTCCATGTACAGTTGCTATTTAACATTTTGCCAATCTTCTGGGAAAGTTTGTCAAACAAAGGTTTTGAACGTGACTTGCACAGATTGCTGACTGCCTTTCACAGCCTGGACATTTTATGAAGTCCTTCACGGGTGACCGTGTTTTGTTTTATTTTTAAATGTATTCCATAAAGAAAGAATTCCGAACTAAGCCACTGTGATTGCACTTAATCAACTTGCAAACAACATACAGAAAAGAATTCATTATATTACTATAGTGAATTCCTGCTATTTAAGGATAGCATCATTATGAATAGAGCTTATTGAAACCAAAACGCCTGAATTTATTTATAGATCCTATGTACAAATGAAAGGGGCAAAGTAGTTTGAAAACAGCCTATACACTTGCTGTATTATGTTGGTTTTCCTGAAAGTTAGCTGCAGTAGGAACAAGTCACTGAGGGTGAGACTTTGTGCTCCTCATTTACTCTATCTGCTGCTGTTGAAGTTTGCAGGAAATCTTCATTTACATCACAGGAAACAGAATTCTGCCAATGCTAAGGTCTTCTGAAAATATATACTTCTGAAAAATGCAGAAGACTGCAGCTGGTGTTTCATCAGCACTAGGAAGCAGTGTTTAAAATGTTAAACATTTTGCCCTTGGAACTATAGAAATGTTTTAGAAACCATTATCAGGAGTTCAAGGAGGTTGGTTTTGTACCCAGAAGAAGGACAAGTAAATAATCTCTCAGTAACGTGTTCTCACTGAGCCAGATCCTTAAAGATACTTCTCAAAAAAACCCCAATATATTAACAAAATATGTTATTAAGCTAAGATTCTTTTTATCTGTTTGGGAAGAGTAGCAGCTTACGTAAATTACAAATAGAACTTTTTCAGATGGTATTTAATCTCATGGAAGAAAGTTGAGCCAGTTAGTGGTTTCGAATATTTTATACCACTGTGGTAATTTCTGGTGCCAGCATACCACTTACATGTGTAGTGTTTCTCAGAAAGGAATGCTACAGGCACTGTATATGCTACCAAACGCTCATGGCTTACAAATCAAGGTACTGTTGCTCCACTACACTGATGTTAGTCAAGAAGAGCCCCACAGGAGTCAGTTGAGTTACACCAGCAGATGAGAAGAGTTAGATCAAAATTAGGCCTTGTTTCACAGTGTGTAGCTCATTAATCCCTTGAAAACAACTAATACCCCACTAATTCCACCTCTTTCATAATCAGGGAGTAATCAGGGCCATTTCCTGGCCCTGGCCTCAGACATATATCATGTTAATTTATTGGAAGAACTGCACAGATTGGTTTCTGACAACTTTTGTTATTATTATTACTGTTATTTACTTATGACAATCAGCACACACACACGTCACTGTCCCAAAGAGCTTACTAAAAGAGCTTTCTCCCTTGTCCATGGACTTCCAAGGGACATGAATTGAAGCCAAGCAGAGTTGCAAGACATTTTCACTTGAGGGTCATATCCTAGCATGGAATGTATTTCAAGCTGAGCTGACTAGGAATTTGGCTCACTTGCACTTTGGCTCACGATGGTGTTGCCCATCAGGTTCATGATGACAAGTGAACAGGAAATTTCACCACTGCATCATCAGAATGTTTCAGGTTGCTCCAGGTGCAGCACGGAGCCAACCTCTCTGTAAAAACCCTGAGATGTGATACACAATGAAATCACTGTCTCTTGCTCTCCAAACAGCATGCTTGAATAGGCTGTGGTGAAACCTCCCCAGGGACACAACGGAAGCCCGATCACTTCAGTCATTTAGAGCTGGATAGTAGGAAACACTTATGAATGTACTGTAGGGAGCAATTCTTCTTGGCAGGGTCTATGTTAAGTGATGTAAGAGATGGCTATTCAGCTCTTATTTCTATGCCTTTGAGGATATAGTGTTGCTATTTGCCTTTTTAAGCAGAGGCCTGAGATGGACAAGGAATGATACAAAAGAGGAGATAATCAAATAGCTGATTTCCTTGCATTCTTTCTCTGTAATCAAGGAATGTTCAAAAGTGAGATGCTGGGCTAGAGGCAAACACTGATAGAGTTACAAGGAGCTAAGAAGTGCTTATCGGTGTCCCTTTAGGTCTGCTTTTCCCATTGCTATCTTAATATTTTCTGTTACACCACCAGGCATAGATGCTTTCCTTGAATACTACTGGAAGGTTGCAGATCCATGTCCAAGATTTTTATGTGCTGTGACATCTACAAGAAACTGGCAGATAATCATAGCTTTGTAAGCTAAAAATGGGAATAATGCAATAAAAAAACCTGGAAACAAAATATTTACTACTAATGAGATGGTGTTCAATGATATACAAGTGCTGTAATCATGTTCATGCTAGTTCTTGCTAATCTTCTATCAGTCTCTTTTAAGACTTTTTTTTTTCCTCTTCAACAAGTTTTTCATTAAGTAGATGGAAGTCTGCCAGAATCAGTTTCCATTCACATTATTGTAAATCACGGTTGAAACCTGTCGTATTATTCCTTTTCTCCACATACAACTTAGATGAGCTTTTAGGCTGTTGCCTCAGGGTTCAATACATCTTGATACCTTTTGAAAGATCATTTGAAAAGAGAAAGAACAGTTCTGAGGCTTTTTTCTTTTTCTTTCTTTCTTTCTTTCTTTTTTTCTTTCTTTCTTTTTTTCTTTCTTTCTCTCTTTCTTTCTTTCTCTCTCTTCCCTCCTTTCTCTCTTTCTTTCTCTCTCTTTTTCTTTCTCTCTCTTTCTTTCTTTCCTCCTTTCCTTCCTTCCTTCCTTCTTTCTTTCCTCCTTTCCTTCCTTCTTTCCTTCTTTCTTTCCTTCTTTCCTTCTTTCTTTCCTTCTTTCCTTCCTTCTTTCCTTCTTTCTTTCCTTCCTTCTTTTCTTCTTTCCTTCCTGAGCTAGCAATGTAATTTGGAACAATTCCCAGCACTCCAGAAATGTTGTGGCAAAAATCTGAAATACCCACAGTTCACAGTTGCTACAATGGCATATCTACTCCTGCCATTTGTTGTTCTCTCACCTGCAAGCCTGTTCACATGTTAAAATCCTCTCATGTCAAGAATCATGCACACCGTTAGGTTTTATAAAGGCATGAAATACGAGATGCAAGTAATAGCAATGTCCTTTATATAACAGCATTTGCACAGGATTTTCTTGTTGCCTGAGGTGGAGTTCAAGTATTTTCTTTTGTATCCCCACCTTTAGGAAAAAAATTATTTGGTTGACTCAGAACCTGAAGTTAGTGCTGTTCAAGTATCCCAACTATCATTTTAAAGTGTCTCAGTGTTTTGATAGCTGGGCAACCTTTCAACAAAGTTGTGTTATATTAAAAAAATTCGTGAGTATGGTCAGTGGACTGCTAGGCTATTCAGTAAATTATGAAGACAGATGTACTATGGACATTCCTAAGCAATTGCATAATAGATACAGTAGATGACACACAACCCCTAACTGAAACTGGCTCCCAATCCTAATTAGGTTGCAAGTGATTAATTCCAAATTTCCAATTCAACGTGTCATAAACCCACCAAATAATTGCTATAGATGGCAATTTCTGCTCTGCAACTGCTGAAGCTGCAGTCACTGAACTTAGAACAATGATGTTCTCTAGCAGTCCAACTGGGCTTACAAAGGTGAAGTACCTGCATGTGCAGGTGCTCAGGATTCAGCCTGGCACTAAGTTGTACCATTTATCAGGCAACGTGCTAACAGGGTGCCCCAGAGTATTTTGTTCCTAAGAAATTATTTCTTCCTCTTTCCTTTCTGCTCTCTTCAAATCATCCTACTTAGCCCAGCTTCACTATACACTTCAAAACAGTTGCTACAAATCTTTCTTGCAACAGGGCAACAAGACTTTGCCACTGTCAGAGCCGTGGAAAAACAGGATGTAAGATGGTGCTGAAGACCAAGTCAGTTTCTGCTGAGACAACACTGACTATTTCTGCCTTCACTTCTAGCATCCCCTGGAAGCTGTACTTATCTTGCTCCTCCTCATCTCTTCCTGCAGCTCTGTTGTATCTCTGACCACATGTGGAATAATCAGACCCCTGGCTCAAACCCTCATGCTTAGGGAAGCAGATATCAATTTTGCCTATGGGGCAGGTATGTTCAGAACAGATTCCTGTTACCTAGTCACGAGCTTCAAGTCCTAGCTCAAAAAGTATGATGCATCTCAGTTCTTTCTGCATCTTTCTCAGCTGGTCACACTGTCCCTTATTTCATCATCCTTACGTGAGCCTAATATTGCTTGAGATGGGAGATCACACACTGAGTATATGCATTCCTTTGAACAATTATTTAAAGTGGGCTTCCACCATTATTTTGTGCATATAGTCTGGGGCCAAAAGACGTATCTCATCTTAGTGTTTAGGAGATGCTAGATAAAGAGAAGTTGAAAGAAGCGTGCTGTGTTGAGCGCTGTAATTGCTGACACATTCCTGTGGTATACTTGATCATTAGAACAGCTCACTTAAAACAATATTTTCTTTATAGAAAGGAAGTTGGTAATCGAGTTGTTATGCTTCTCTGCTTTGCATTTTCAGTTTAAAATTCAGCTGGTATTCAGTGTACAGTTATTGGTTACCAGAGCATCCTGATTCAAATTTTCATTACCCAATTGCAAGCTGATTTGTTGAATGCTGCGTAAACACTTGATCGCTGCAGATTTTCATGTACATGCCCTTTGGATTTTAGTCATGAGTGTGGGCCATTTGAAAATGCTATAATCTCTGACTACACTGTGATTAAAATGGCTGTGACACAGATTTGAATTTGGTCAAGTCTATCCCCAAACCACAGTGACCAAAATGAACTGGTTGTAGAAACCATTCAAGGAAATATATCATGTAAAGTATAAATCTAGATCTGAAGTATATGAGCCTAAATGGAGTCTTGCCCCCACCCATTTTACTGTCTGGGGATGAGCTAAATATATAATATTGATGAGTTTTAAGTATTTGTGGCTGGAGTACAAAGTGATATAGGGAAACAGTAGTCCTACACAAGCCCTGCTTTTTCCCTCTAAGCTGATAAGCCAAGTTGTTCCCACTATGGTCTTGTCACTCCCCATCACTCAGGGCCATTCTTCTGGCCCAGAGATTCTCAGTCTCTGCTGTGAAATGGCCTCATCTGCCTCATCTCACTGTTGCCCTCACCGCACAACAGCATGTGAGCCCCATCTGAATCCCAGACTCACCGCACAACAGCATGTGAGCCCCATCTGAATCCCAGACTCACTGCACAACAGCATGTGAGTCCCATCTGAATCCCAGACTCTTCTCCCTGAGCTATTCTTCCTGTTCAGACTACCCTTGCCTATACCATACTTCCTCAATTTTTCTGGACAATTTGGAAACCAGTAGAACACATTAAAAGGGGTTTATGTGATGGAAATGAAATGAAGAGAAAGAGGAAAAGATCATCTATCTTCCGTGGAACACTGTCTTTCTAGTAGAAAAGTCTCTTCTCAAAAAACTCTAAAGTTAGTTACCATCTACCATGAAACCTCTATGAAATAGATTCCGTGCCAAGAACCTACAGAGTATGGACTTCATTGTGTTGAGACTCATTTGATTTCTCTTCAGATAAGGTGTCTTGTCCACATTGGCCAGCTCTGCTCCTTTGGAGGGAGGGATATCTGCACCTGAGGAAAGTAATTCAATGCACTTATCTGAAACATCTGCTTTAACATGGGGTTACCTGTGCCTCTAGAAGTTGTATAGACAATTAACTTAGGCAAGGTGCTAACATTTTATGTCTCGTGTTAGGTCAGCTGAATCCTGCATCAAAAGAGTAATTACAGTAGCTCTTGCCGGGTGTGTGGGAGAGGAGAGGGTTGTGTTTCTAAGCAGGAATTTACAAAACTATTTACTATGAGATTATTATTTTTTGATACACACACATTAAAAAGTTAGGAGGTCACCAAGAATGAAGTCCTACTGAGTGAGTTAAACCTGTGGTACTTCACTTAGTAAAAGTCACTGTCTTCTTTACTACAGAAATGGAAAATGGATACCACAAAATGCTGCTGGAAAATCCCAAAATAATTAATGCAGATGTAAGTTGCCTGGGCATGTCAGTTAAAACTTTAAATTGTACATACTTGATTTAAAAGATAAGTTAAATCTCATAAAACTATTAAGGTCCATCGGGGCCCCTGGTGGTCTAGTGGTTAGGGTGCAGCACTTTCACCGCTGCGACCTGGGTTTGATTCCCAGCCCCCCGGGCAGATGGAGCTCGTCAGCCTTGTAAGGCAATCCATCTAAGAGAAGGTCACTCTAAACAAACCTACGTCCTGAGACCCTCACTGCCACTGTCCAAGCTTGCTCGGCCCTGGCAGATGAACCTCAGGATTAAAGGGTGGGCTCAGTTCAGCGCACGCTGTGTCTCACCTAAAAAATCCACTGTGCAGGCTCGAAGGGTTAATGACCTTTCCCAAATCTTCGCTCGAGAAGACTGGCCATACCTACCTACCTAACTAAGGTCCATCAAAAGAGATGTGTATTCACAAAAAGTCATCTAGCCTGTGAACTAGAATTTTTCTCAGCAGCGACTCCCTGTGCTCCCTGACATTTGTGAATGAAATACATATCCCTCCCATGAAATATTAAGTTCACGCTATACTCAGATTCTTTTGTGAGGTCTGTACTCTTTAGATATTTCTTGAGAACACTTTGTAAGCAGTATTCATAGTCCCAGTCTGAGATCTAATGGGATACAATTTTTCCATGAATTAACACAGAAATAATAGCTAAGTCTGGACTGACCACCTAACTTCCTTTGCAGGTCAACAGAAAAAAAAATTCCCAGGGAGAGTCATCGTGTCTGGAAAAAGACATAAAAAACTGGCAAACCCTTTCTACAAAGGATATGAGGGTACCTATTTAGGTGAATAAAATTTTGATTAGTCTAATGTCAAACAAGGTGAATAAAACACTCCTCAGGTTAGTAGAACATAACACTTGCAAAGCAAACATCTAATCAGGCAGCTGGAAGTTGTGCAGGAGTACCATGTCTGACTCTTTACTTCAAGTTTTAACATGTGAAATTATTTCTAAGGTTTCTAATTAAAAGAGGATTAAAAATTTTGGCTGATATTTGTAGATCTTACCATACCTGGATAGGCTGGATAAATGGGCTGACTCCAACGGTACAATGTTTAACAAGGCCAAGTGCTGGGTCCTGCACTTTGGCCACAACAACCCCATGCAGCACTACAGGCTGGGCACAGAGTCTGGAGAGTGACAAGGCAGAAAGGAATCTGGGGGTTCTAATCAAAGGGAAGCTGAACATGAGCCAGGTGAACATGCCCAAGGTGGCCAAGAAGGCCAATGGCATCCTGGCCTGTATTAGGAACAGTGTGGCCGGCAGGACCAGGGCAGTGATTCTGCCTCTGTACTTGGCACCAGTTAGGCCACACCTTGAGTACTGTGTCCAGTTCTGGGCCCTTCAGTTTAGGAAGGACACTGAGGTGCTGGAGAGTGTCCAATGAAGAGCAACAAGGCTGGTGAAGGGACTTGAGCACAGGTCCTATGAGGAGAGGCTGAGGGAGATGGGGCTGTTTAGCCTGGAGAAGAGGAGGCTCAGGGGAGACCTCATCGCTCTCTACAACTACCTGAAAGAAGATTGGAGCAAGGTGGGAGTCAGTCTCTTCTCCCAGTCAACCAGCAGTAGGACAAGAAGGTACAGTCTTAAGCTGTGCCAGGGGATGTTTAAGTTAGACATTAGAAAGAAATTCTTTACAGAGAGAGTGATCAGACTTTGGAATGGACTGCCCAGGAAGGTGCTGGAGTCACTGTCCCTGGAGGTATTTAGGAGACTGGACGTGGCACTTAGTGCTATAGTCTAGTTGACAGGGTGGTGTTGGGTCATGGGTTGGACTCGATGATCTCAGAGGTCTTTTCCAACCTGGTTGATTCTGTGATATTGCCCTACTTCCATAAACATACACTCCTGCTTGCCTCACCTTTTGTTGTTTGAGATCTATTTTTAGTCCAATTGTTCTTAGAAATTCTTGACACTGTGGAACATTACACTGCACTGTCAGCTCAGGAAGACTGACAGTGAATGATCTTCAACATGGATTTGTTGAAGCTCCAGTTTTCTTTTATACACTGTTATAAAACTATTTGACTGGTTTTCAAGCCAGGCTTCAAAAAAGTGATCCAGTAACAGAACCGCTTAAGATTTAATTGTTAAATGGAGCAATTATTGCATAGTGTGAATGTCTCAAATTCAGCCCCCCAGTGCTTTTTGAGCTTGAAATTCATTGCACCAACAAATGGCCTCACAATTTAATGTAAGCAAAACCTTTTACTAGCGTAAATTTTTCTGTAGTCACCATGAGGAAAAGAAAAAGGGAAGTATGGGGTTGATTCTCCCTCTGCTATGTCTCATATTTTGTTTATCCTGTAGTGCATTATTTGTTTTAGCTTGGTAGTTCTTTTTCAAATGTCTTCACAAGACTAGAGTGCTACAATTTTAAGCCTCACAGGGAAATTTTAGCAAGTTATGAATAACCAGGGAATGGGATTTCAATGTAATTCAGGAATGAGAACTAAGCAAAGAAGAATATTCAACCTTTTCATGGAAGGATTGAGTATTCTTTTCAAAGTCATATATCAAAAAGCCACATACAATGGAAACATTCTCTCTCCCTAGAACATAAAAGAAGAGGGAACTGCCTGTTATGTGTTCTGAAATGATCCCTTTTCATTACAACTTCAGAATTTTTTCTCTCTGGGGATCTCTGACTTCAAACCATGAAGAAAGGGAGAAACGACATCATACTATTTCCATTAAAAGCAGCCATGCGTAACCTGTATTTTTTCCTTTACTCTTTTTTCCCCATTTCACAATAATATTTGCATTCCAAAAAACTTAGTCTCTCTTTTTTGATGCACTGAGGTTAAGCAAATGAGCTTGCTGCTGACAGTGTTGTTCATACCACTTGTGTGCTCCTTGTTTTAAGCCAGCAGCAGAGAAACTGCTATGTCTGTGTGAAATACATTAGAAAACAAAACATTCCATCTTTCTTCATTTGGCCTGATCCTTCTTGTTTATCATAATTAAGTTATAAGAAAATCATCTTACACAATAGGAATACAAAAGTCTCTCAGTCTTGTAAATGAATAAGCTAGAATTGACCTGATTTTTTTTAAATGGGTCCCTGTACAGTATATTCAGAAAACTCTTCTATATGAACAATCAGAAAAGAAATAAGAAAAAATGATTCAGAAACAATAGAAGAAATCTGGAGAAAAGGGATTAAGTATGATAATGCAAAGATTTCACCTGACTTTTAATACAGTAAAGAAATACAAAATTAACAAAGAGCAGTCAGTATAACACAAGAAATATAAAAGAAAAAGCAACATGGTCTCAGAGAAGAATTTTCATAGGTTCAATAAGACTGGAGCAAAAAACAAACTTTGGATTTCTCAATATCAGAAATATAAAATTACTGTAGGAAAGTTTAGAGAAGAGACAAACAAACAATGTGAGACATAGACTAACAAATGAAAGAGAAAACAGCACATATCATTCACATACTGTTCTTTAGATGTTCAAAGCAGTGTACAGATGTATTGGCCTCATAAGCCACCAGCGTGCCTGTAGCAAATGTGGATAGAGCCTTCCCAAATCTTCGTTCGCGAAGCCTAGCCATGATGAATATCTGTTTGAGGCAAACAGATTCCCTTTTTACAAATCAAAAATATAAAACGTCTAGAGATCCTATAATAGGATGAAACCACTTGAGTCTCATTCTTATGTTTATCCCCTCAGATGACAGTAGAACACTAATCAAAAGACCATACAATATAACGCACATTTTCTGTTTTCTACAGTCGAATCACAGAGGCCATTCTTTATGAATTTCTGAAATGTCAGCTATCAGAAAAAAAAAAAAAGAAGATAATGGTATATTAAAAACTTAGAAAAAAATTATATTAAGGATCACACATTTTGTAAATAAAAGGTAATGGGAAAACATTCAGGTAGATTTTTCTGGAGGCCTGAAATGGTTTCTTAAAGCATATTTTACCAATCGTGCTGTGCTTACTTAAACCTACACTCTTCCAGCTCTATGCATCTTGATAAGATGTTGCTAATAGAATCTAAAGTAATTCATGGATTACAGACAAAATTAGCAAGTGTATTTAACATTTGCATGTTGATGCAAATGTATGATATTCGATGTAATTTGCTGAAAGCTTCAAATTACTGACCTTTGCAACATATATATGGCAAATGCATTTATGCAGCCACACAGAATTAGCACAACTACATGAAAGAGATGTGCATATGTAGCTGGAGTTGCTAGTGAATATAAGGAAAAATTGTTTTCAGTTCATTAGAAAAAGTAATCTTCTCAGAGAGTGAAGACTGTAAATCTTGCTATGGGGGTTGAAATTAAAAGGCACACTACAGATGTTCATTGTTACTATCAGTATAAAGAAAATGGTACTTACAATACAATATGTTTGAATAGGATACAAGATTCCTGTTGTCTCATGCTGTTTGCCAGAATAACAACACAGTATAACAACACAAATTTTGTATTGTCTTTTCCGGATTTTAGAATAACATTGGATACTGAAAACACCTCTCTTTCTTCCAAAGACTAAGGCATGAGTATATTTCTTTCTTTGTCATTGATTCATTATTGCATCTATACTGGTTTTCAAAATGTTTTCAAAAATGTTTGCTGAATAGCTATGGGAAGTGATCTGAATGACCAGTGTGCTCCAAGTGATGTTATATTCCTCCTTTGTTTTATGAAAACTGTGTTCTATATTATTCCCAGCCTTTAAGTGGTTTATGTTCTTTTCCCACTGCAAATCATCTGCAAAATTGATTAATATGCTTTCTTTCAATCATTCCTGAAACTATTGCACACAGAAAACCCCCAGAAGGCACCTTCTCTCAATTAGCACTGGGATTTTTTTGAAGGCATTTCTCTGCATTCCCATACTGCAGATTATGACATCAAACAATTGAGATTAGGATCAGAGTCTGAACAAGCAGAAAGGACATATGTTCTTAGGGGGAAAGGTCTCACACATGGAGATGTTTTCAGTAAATGGCAGATTATAAAAGCGCAGCAAAAGCCCAGGCTTTAAACTGGCTTATTTTACATGCTCTTCATTCCTCTGACACTTTTAAAGCAACATTTGGTCCTCATGAACACAGAAACCTGATAGCATGTGACCTAGTCAGCCCTGGCAAAAGTCTGGAGTAGGCATCTCTTACTCATATGGAAGCTTTTGCTGGAACCCCATGAAGTGTGTTGCCAGCTTTCACCACGTTTTCCTGAGGAACCGAGGTGACTTACTCTCAATTCAGATCTCAGACAGCTCTAAGATGGCCAAGGGGAGCCCTTTATTTTGGTTTATTTCCTTTCTTTCTGTCTCCAGAGGAAGAACAAAATAGGCATGGGCAGAGAGGCAGATTACAGAAAGCTTTCCTGAGGGAAGGTAATTCTGGCCATCATGCTTCTGTCCATTCAAGTTGTCTTATCTTCTTGCATGAGTAAGGATGGGAGGAGGAGAGACGTTTGGTCGTGCCACCTAGCCACAGGTATCTCCTTCCCAGGCCTGGAAAGAAAGCAAGGAGGTGCATAAAGGCTGGATTCCCCCAAATTCTGACTGCATGGTGAATTTTGATCCTTTGGATGTCTGCTAAGGCAGAGAAGTCAGAGATTTGTTGTTGTTCTGGAGTTCCTGCTGTTTGAAGACCCCCATATTTTCTTAGGTATAGAACACTGAGAGAAGAAAAAAAGTGATCCCAGTTCCTGTCACTACGGGGTTCTTATCTTTTCTGTGCGGTTTTGCATAGTGCCATAGTCAAAGATAGGCTTTAAGGCAGTGGCCAAGGTCCTCATATCCA